CCAAGTTTATGTATTTAAAGCTGCCATGATGTTACAATTGTATGCCTCTAAAACTGATTGCCATGATGTACCAATTTTATGCATCTAAAGCTGATTGCCATGGTATGCCAATTGTATACATCTAAAGCGGATTGCCATGGTGTGCTAATTTTGTGCCTCTTAAACTGATTGCCACGGTGTGCCAATTGTATACATCTAAAGCGGATTGCTATAGTGTGCCAATTTTATGCATCCAAAGCTGATTGCCATGGTGTGTGCCAATTTTATGCGTCTTAAAAAGATGCCATAATGTTCCAATTGTGTGCCTGTAAAGCTGACCAGCATTGTGCCAATTGTATGCATCTAAAACTGATTGCCAGCGTAATTATGTATTCATCTAAAAGCGGATTGCCATGGTGTGCCAACTGTGTGCCTCTAAAACTGATTGCCATGGTGTGCCAACTGCTTATGCCTCTAAAACTGATTTTACATGCTTTTTGCCAGCTGTATGAAAGGCTCTAAAAGTAGTATTTATGAGTGTCCAATTGTGCATGTTATGCGGTTGCTATGGTGGCGGTGTATACCTCTAAAGCTGATTGCCATGGTGTTTACTTTTTAAAATATGCATTAAAAGCAAGTGGGTCTCGAAAAATTACTGTTTTGAAAAGTGGGTCTCGGCCCATAAAAGTTTGGGAAGCCCTGGTATAGAGGGTTCAATGAAGACTGATTGGTAACCATATATGGTCTACTGAGATGTTTGAAAGACTCATTCAGGGGAAGTCCTGCAACATTTTGCCTGGGGGTCAAGTACAAACTAATGGTCTCTTTTTATGCTGAGAAATCATGTGATAAATCTGACAGACTGACGATGCTGGAGTTGTGACGTCATATATCTACATAGTCTCCATCAGTAGGACCTTTTTATACATGGTATTTTGGAGAATTCACAGTAATCTGTGCATACTTCAGAGACACAGACTCTGTTGCCAACAATTCCATTGCCACCAATGACAACCAATGTCTGTTATGCATGAGCACTGGTTCATCGTAGTATGGAAGCTTGATCAGCCCAAAACCAATGGGTCAGTCCAGGTTTGCAGAACATAGTCTAAGCACCTAAGCACAAACTGACACAGTGTTGGGCCACCAATGGCCGTGTATAGTTCCTGCATGCTTCTTCACTCATGCAGATTTCCCAATCCATCTCCTTCTGTTTGAATCCATGGAAGGATAGTGTAAGGTTGCAGTGTAAAGTCCCGATATAATAGTGGCCTGGGTGAAAATGCCTACCTGACCCCCTTGCCAGCATGCCTATGGACTCAGTTAAGAATGTTTACATAAACTATACCTAGAACTTAATAGATATATTAAGAGAAGCAAAGCTTGTTTGAATTACTCATCCATATATATAAAAAAAAAATTATATTTTTTTTGTAAAGCCCGTCAGGAAAAGGTATGCAGTTGTGTGACATTTTGCACTTGATCCTACATACATATTTTGTTACAATTCAATAATCTGTGATTATAACCTGAGTATAATGTCATCAATTCAGAACTTTTACAGGTCAGAATCAATAGAAGTTCATGAGATGTAAGTTCTGCTTTCATTTTTTGGGGACTGTAACTGACCCGCTAGTTTTGTTTTGTTTATGACTACATAATTCTATTCAGGCTATGTGTAGCTCTGATTTGAATATTTCTGGGAAAAATAAGGGTATAATTCAGGTCTACTGTAATTTACACCAGCCTCAGGTGGACTGGAGTCATTCTTACGGGAGGTCCAGTACTGCACACAAATGGTCCAAAGTGTCTCTAATCATATAACTGCCACGGGAACAATAATGATTTTTAAAAACAATACTTGAGAATTGCAGTGGTGCAGGACATCAGAGTAAGGGGCCAAGAGAAAGAGAGGGGGCATGAATCTGATGTCCATGCCCTGTAGCTGTAGAGTCCTTCATCTGTGTTGTTACCCCACTGTCTACCAACTTCAGAGCTATCATCATATCTCCACCTTCTTTTTCCTGCTAATCCAGCTGCTGCCCCAGCTACTGCCCCAGCAGCTGCTGCTCCAGCTGCCACCCTAAAGGAACCATAGCGTGTTGGTGACTTGACACGCACGCGAGAAGTGCCTCGTGAACTTCCACGGGCTCCTCCCCTGGCACCCCCACGTCCTCCTTTGGCAGTGATACTATGGCTGAAGAGAGCCACCAAAAGCAGAAGTGACCAGCATACAGCAGAGCTGCCTCTCATTTTTAGGAATCTGTGGGCAAAAGAATAGCAAGTAAGGACACTGTGCCATCAGGGAACATTGTGAAATAAAAATGCATCAGTCATAGCAGGTCAGCAATGGACTTTTTTGAATCGTTAGTCACACTAAGACCACTCAAACTAATTGGCACTTTAAAATTAATGTGAAGTAGAAAGAGGGGACAGTGCCTTGGGATATTCTCAATGTTAGATGTGTTCTTCTTTGAGCTGCTTATTTGTTTCAACTACATGCGCTCAAAAAAACCTAATTTCTAAATATTTTACCTTTAATATTAATGACCATCACTAACGATATGGTTAGTGATCCAGAATGGTATAGTAGCATTCTAGAAGACACGGTATGAACATAGAGCTGTATGATATTACCTGGTGTGCCTTTCCTTTAATGTGAACAAATCACACAGGTTGGCAACTCCATATCCCATGATTGTAGCCCTCACCATGGCTGAACAGCTTGCACACAGATGCTGGCTACCATTCACACAGTTCTTTACTCTCATTGCCGTTTTAGATTTCTCTATATGGCAGCGAAAAGTAAAGCCTCTTTACCTGATGAAATATTAAGAGGGGTAGGCAGGGGGAGGTAGGTAACTCCTTCTGCCCATTATATAAACCATTCAAAGTATAATTTTTATGTTGCTGTAATTGACACAGATGCATTAGATGTTTCTGGTACCTTTAAATTACCCTCCCATTCATAATAAAGGCTAATATTTGGTAGAGAATGCTGCTTATATTGTTCTTAGAAGATTAACGTTCAGCAAATCTGTGACTTGGTATAAAATGGCAGAGCAGACAGATTTTGAATAAATGTCTTTTAAAAAATGGGTCATTTCCAGCCAGATCTGCCAAGCGGAATCAGCTGGAAAGTCATTAATAATACAAGGAGGGTTTGTTAAATCAGAGCTGGATTAAGGAGGGGAGAGAGAATGATTCTGGTTAATTGTTAGCTGCCTACACAGTTATGGAGTAAGGGGGATCTAAGGGTTTGGATGCTCTTAATAACAGGAACCAAACATAATTAGACCTCCTTGTTAAAATGATTAGGGCAGAATTTCTTAATCAAGAGTCAAAACAGAGTTCAACATGCATCTCACTCCCTGCTTATTACAGTGATAGCTTTAATGCATGATCCAGGATTTACACTTGAGATAAGCAGGCTATCAAAAACAATAGTAAAAACAATACCTTTTGCCACAATGTCACATGAACATCGAGGTGATATCTTTTCTATAATAGCAATTCAGAACAGAAGCAACCATGTCTACAGTGCTGTAGTTTTTTTTGCTAAAAAATACAATAAAAATCAAAATATTACACGTAAAAAAAAAAAAAAAAATTAAAGAAAAATAAATATCTCACCCCAAGCTTAAGGAAATAGCACCGAATCAATTAGCTGCTCCTCTTCTGCTGTCTCTGTGGGGGTGCTTGCACTCCTCTTCTGTTATATAGAGAACTGGGGATGTTCTTCTGTCCCTGCTGACTCCACCCAAGTGACAGAACAGAGGAGATTAAATATATCCATGCATGCTTTTAACATCGGCAGCGTCTGAATTGCTAGCAACAGAAAATAATTCTAACATTTTTTGTCAAGCCCTCCTTCTAACACACTGAAAAGCACAGAATTCCAAGAGGTGATTCCCTGAAAGTTACATTATCACCATGGAAACTAGCACCAAAGCCTAGCAAGACAACCATGTCTTTTAATAGCCACCCACTTTTTTTATGATGTGTTGTATATTAAAATTGTTTTTAGATATTAAGCTGTGAAATCCCTTACTGACCAGGGCTCAAGCTGCCGCATCTCCAATATCTGCTAAGCCTTTATAGTCATAGGATAACATTTACCACTTAAAGTATATATATATAGAAATAAAGCATAAGAAAATACGAAAGAAACAAAAAATTGTGCAATTCTGACTGGTAAGTACAAATCAGCATCAAGACGAAGTGAACAAAAACTCACATTTAAAGGAGACTTTTAAAGGCTCCAAACGTATAGATTTCTGTGCCATTGAGGTGGCAGCAAAACCTTCGATGATGGTGTAATAAAACACTACCAGAAGTTGATATAAAATGAAATACAATAAAACGAGAGCCAAATGGTGCAATTTTGTTATTATATTTGTGTTTACTTTTATATACTTATATAGCCATGTTACAATGCTGCCACCCACCCCATGTGTTCCCTATGAAGGGTTAATAAGTATGTAGGGGTTTAGAAAAATACCCCTCTCTATCTCATTAGAGATTTCTTTGCCTGAAGCTGAAGGAAAGAAGGTGACCCACCTAAGAGCGTTGCCTTGTCGTGGCAAGTGGGCTTATACCTAATGGCCTTTAGAATTACTAAATAACCTCCATTTATTTAAAAATGCATAGGGATTTGGGCTAGTGCGCAGGTAACTCTTTTTTTCTGTGGTTTTTATTGTATATATTGGGGCTGATGTGTGCTATGGTCATGCTGCTGCCCAGGAGTAGTTGGAGTTTGAGCGCAGGGCTTATTTTTTGTGTATTTATCATTTCTGATCTAGTGAGCTAGGCCACGTACCCCGAGGACGTAGGCAATAATTTATAGGGGGCGACCCTTCTTAGTTCACTTAATATTGGGACCGGGGAGTTCATATACACGCTTTCGCCAGAAGATCCGAATTCTCTAGCACACATTTTGCTTTTGTTTTACACTGTAAAAAAAAATATTTTTTTCTTTGAGCAGTGTCTGCTGACTTGGATTTGAGCAGTGTCTGGTGATTTGTGGGCTTGGTACACCTGGTGACGCGGGACCTCTTGTCAGAAATCCAGAAACCTGAACACACAGACAGAATCTGACTTAATGCCGGTCCTTAGAATGGCGGGGTTAATGAACAAACAGTCAGGATAGCAAGCCAAGGTCAAAGGAGTACAGAGGTCAGAGATAGTGATTAAATAAGCCAAGGTCAAAGGAGTACAGAGGACAGGATAAACGTAGACAAGAGCAAGAACAACATACCAAATAAATCTCAAGAGGAACACTCTATTGGGCTACCAAGAAACCACAACAGGGCAACAAGGAATGGGAGAGGTAAATATAAATAGGCATCACTTCTAAATGATTCAATCTATTCGTGGAAGGTACTTGACTTTCCTAATATGACCTGTGATGTGATTTATATGCGCCGAATTCGGTCTCCCGAATTCCGCATTTGGTTAGGCGAATGACAAATTCGGTAGTTTGTTCAGTCGCACATATATACACGGTTCTCCCTGTGCCATCCAGACGGTTTGGCGTGGCCACCCCACAGATGCCTTACAGGGGAATTGATCCTGGGTCTTCTGAACTTATGGTTCTAGCCCTGTTTACCTGGCCTTGTCTGCAGCACTAGGGGGCTGGACTTCTCCTTTGATTACTACCTGTCTCTCTAAGTCCATCTGTGGCATCTTGCAAATTGGCTGCTATATAACATTTCCTCTCCCTGAGGGCAGTGTCAATTCATTGTGTCCTGTTGCTTAAGACTGACTTGGTGTCAGGGGTGGCGGTCCGATGACCGGGACCCAGTATGCATGATCTTGATAGTAGGAGTCACTGTGTGGAAATGGATTATCAGGGCCCGGTGCAGGGTAATCTCACACCCCCTGGTGTTGAGCACCAGCGTTTGTGCAGCCACATACCAGGGCCCTGATGCAGCTACTGCGGATCCCAGGTGCCAGATGACAAGAAGCAGACCTGCCAGGGTCTGAATAGGGAGGCTCTGCAGCAGACATGTAACCAGTACAGAAGCAAGGCAAGACTAGAATAGACACCAAACAAGAAAACAAGACAAAACTAGGAGAACCCAGAACCGGAGCAGGACAGAAAGCAGAACCCAGAACATGTACACAAGACATAAGGAAAACAAGAACAGGGCAGGACAGGACTGTACATGAACTGGGAATACAATCCAAAATAAAACAAGACCAGAGATGCAAGGCAAAACAGAAGGAGACATAACTAAGTACTATATATATATGTAAAACATTGGCGATTTAGACATACATAAATGGCCAAGATGTATGCAGCCCACCAACTGAGTCAAAGTCCTCCAATTAAAGTGGGTCCTATCTACCTAAATATGCATGACTAAATAAACAATAATAAAACACACACAGCACTTATCTGCAAGAAAAGGCAGAGGACTTGAGCAACTGCCTGCAGGGAGCAACTGAAACAAAAGGATTAATGGAAAAGGAACGGGTGTGGCAACATAAAACAAACATTTAAAGAAATCCAAGAAACTGGGAATTCCAGGAACGGAATAAAGGAATGAACCCAGAAAACCCAGCATAAAGAAAACCAGACATAGAATAGAAAACCAGAAAATCCAAGAAAAAGTAAACAAGAATTGTAAAAAGAGTACTGGATACCAGAAGCCAAGGCCAGACATCTCCGCAGAACGAAGCAGGATGTGACACTTGGCTTGTGACCCCTGCTTCTGGATCTTCGTTATTGCCTGTTCGTTGCCTGCCCTGACCTTTAGAACCTTGCCTAACTACTCTCCTGGATTTGCCCTTGTCTGTTTCCTCATACCTGGTTATTGTTCTGCCAAGCCCCCGCGCACAGATTCACAGCCCAGGTAGCTTCTTACCTGGTTCCTGTGGGTTGTGTTTATCTGCAAGGGTGAGCATACATCTCTGCACTACGGACACCAACCAAGGTAAGACCATGACACACGTCAGACAGAATGCCGGAGAGGATCGCGGCACCCGGAGCCGAGCAGGCAGAATGCCTAACACCTCTAAGATTTGGACAACATTACTCCCTTGAACTCAGACACACATGTCACAATACACCATTCCTTTTTCCCCTGCTGTTTTGAAGTTCATTCACACCCTTCACCAGAAGATCCAAACTCTCTACCACACATTTTCCTTTTGTTTTACACTGTAAATAAGTGATTTTCTTTCTTCTTTTTGTTAGGGATTTGAGCAGTTTCTGGTGACTTGTGGGCTTGGTACACCTGGTGACTCAGGACCTCTAAGGTTTGGACGCAAACAGACATATCACATCACACTGTACCTTTCTCCCCAGCTGCTCTGAAATTCCTCTTGATAATTGCCAGATAATAGCACCCCTGAAAAACGCTCCATTGTCCTGAGGGACTTCTAGGCACATAAATCACACATAATCTATATCCAAGGGGCGTGGCCAAGGCTCCGACGAGACTGGCAGCATAGTGGCTGAGCTCCGTTCCTGACAGGAGAACATAAGCGACCCCTGGTATTAAAACGCAGCAATGGCGACTAAAAAGCAACGTAACACCACAGGGAGTACCTCAGCAACAGATAATCCGCCCACAAAGTCCTCTCTGCGGAGATTCTTTACGGAACAATCAGAGCCGCACCAAATGAACAAAATGGGACCCGGGACAAATACACACGGCAGCCGGCCTTCCAGCCTGGCAACATCAGAGGGCTCAACGGATGAAGCTGACATCAGGGCAATACTTACACAACTGCCCTCGAAGAAAGACCTCAAAGAAATTTTCTAGAGAGAACATCTTCAGCGAAAAATTGCAGGCAGTTAATGCAGATGTCCAGCATCTGGGAACCAGAGTACAGGCCCTGGAGGACTCTGAAGAAGCTTCTGAACGACTATGGTCAGAGTGCCACACTACACAAAACCAACACACAGATGCCATAATGTATCTCCAAAGAAAACTGGACGATTTAGATAACAGGGGGGGGTGGAACAATTTGAGGGTGAGGGGAATCCCGGAAAGCCCAGAAGGCGCTATTAAGGTACTGACTACCCTCATTAATCTGATCCTCGCTAGACCCATTACCTCAGCCTTACTCGAGAAGCAGATCAAATTCAGATGGAACTTTCCGTTTGCCCTCTCAGTATCGACCCAAAGTGGAATTCATACTATATACACACCGACAGACGTCCCAGACTTCCAGCAGGCACTGGGCCTTCCCTGCGTCGCAGTAGAAGACTGGACTGGCCTATCAAATTACATGCCCTCGCCATTGCAGCAAAAACCCAAATGGCAGAGAACACCAAGAAAACGCAGAAGGCAATACCAGACTGGGACTGAGACCTCCAGCATACCCAGAGATAAAGAGGCCTGAGGACCGCTACTGATGGCCACTTATATCCTTTATTTTGACCTATTGTTTGCTGAAATCTCATATTGTTTTAGTTGTTTTGACGTATTTACTATGTTTAGCCACAATTATCCATGTTGTCATTGCCGCAAATGATTTCTACTGACATATGTTATCCGGCCACTAAGGCTCTACAACTCAGAAGTATGACTTACTGACTACACTGGCTGCCCCGGGGTAGCCCGGAACCGGGTAACTTTCAAGGGACATAGAGATAGCCCCTTCATGGGGAAAATATGCTAACCACCGTATAAGTCCCGGACGTCCACTCAGTTAACCTGTTCAGGCCCTGTCACAACAGAAGGAGCTCCACCCCCCCAACAGAGAGGCGCTTCGGCAACTACTTGGGGACACGACTAAGTCTCCCACAAGTGCAGCGCCAACTCCTTATAAATATGATGTTATTATATTGTTTATGTGTA